TGATGATTATAATGGACTAGCAAATTGAACTAGCAAAAGTGCGAAATGCCCCTTCCAAGCCGAACCGCCCCAACAGTGCCAGTACTCCCAGGTATAATCTCATCTTCCAGGAGTAACAGTTGCTGCAGTGACGGCAAAAACTGACCGCGGTGACGTGGTCAAGTCGTACCGCCTGGAAGGCGCCGATGCCATGTTCTTCACCATAGACAATCAGGTCAGGCCAGACACGGAATGTGGATCGATTCATTTTTTCAAACCCTCCTCAACTGGTAATTTCCGCAGAAAATGCCTAAAAGGTCAGTGTCTCTAGGGTGCTATCCGTCTGAAAGACTCAATCGCAAATGTCCCTCGATCCGAGCTGAACTTCATCGCGAGGGCCGAAGATTCAAAGATATCAAGTACAGTACCGGTGAGCTCAGAAGCATGGCAAGGGTGGAAAGGAGAGCAATATTGACGGAGAAGCATTTCAGGTCCATATTACGGTAACGACAATGGACGAGAATACCGATTTTGAGTTCGAAAAGAGCTCATATGAAGTAAAAGTAATGGAAAATCTACCGGTGAATGGATATGTGCTGCACCCGAAGGTGATCTTTCTTCTTCTAGACTTCTTCAGATTGTTGTGAGAAACGCTTGCATATTGCTTTTCCAGCTTGTGAGCGCCAATTCGAGTGGCGTTGAATACTCCATAGAGACCCTGAACGATGCCACCATGATAAAGGACCTGCTTGATATTGATTCAGATGGGCGCGTTACAATAAAGGATGAGTTACAAGGTAAGTTCTCACGTGTAGAAATGGGAGATGCTGATCAATAATCAAAAAAGTCCAAGCTTATTGCATGGGCGGGGCCAGGCTCGCTGTTGCGCTTCTACCTTGGCTCATTCCTTCTCCTAGTCGTTTCGTCAGTGAGGAGCACATAGTGGTCCATGTCTCCTCTCGTGATCAGCGCGTACATTGCCTTCAAAGGAGCTGCAACCATTTTCGTGGCACCACAATGTTTTTGTCGCCCGCTGTCGCTGTCACTCCTCGCTGTCCGCCGTTTTTAGTTGTCGCTATCCGCCGTCTCTAGCTTCTAGAAATTTCTTGCTCACTATTGCTCAATCGCTTGCCACATCTTTTTGCTCGCTTGTAGCGTGCTTACCTAGCTGGCAATCCCCTCTTGTAACTTAAAACCCCTCCCCGCGCCCAGCCCGAAGCCCGGTTTGCGCCCGCTGCATGAGTAGGGTCCAACCCAACATCGTGAGTACCACCAGCTTGTCCCCGGTCTCCCTTCTTCCTCGGAAAGAGAACACCTTATCAGAGAAAGAGGGGTGCGCTGAGGAAGATACAACGATAGGTCCATCTCCGCTCACACAATCCGCGTACTTTGCGACTTTACGTTATTTCATGTAGCTCCAGTCCTTTTGGTTGTGGTTGCAGTTCAGAACTCATTCAGCATAACTTGTTTCCGTACTTTTTACCCTCATTTTCATTTTCCAGGCTATACAGGGACGCACGAATTCCAAGTACGTGCTACGAAAGGTGAACGTCGTGCTTCAGCAGATGTGAAGTTACACATTCTGGCTGCCTACAAATGTGTACCAATGTTTACTGGCGAGCAAAATATCGAGTTTACAATTGAAGAGGTTAGGCATGACTAGGTTACTTGAAGACGCAGTCCACGCTCACTGTGTGGGCGGAATTAGGCCTGCGGTTGGCTCTCCCACTATCAGTTCACTTGAAACAGCAGCAAAAGTTTTTTGCTTTGCATCATTGACAGACCAACCACGTTGCTCAAGTCCTTGTCCTTATCCCTGGAGGACCCCCAGGCATAAGAGAAGATGAACGGGAAATTTGGAAAAGATCAGCAAGTTGGAAAACAAGTTGACATAAAGGGCTTATCGGCGCGTCGAGTAGAGGCGTTCCTATGAGATTAGGTTTTGGCGCAGCACCAGCCTATTTCCATCACTGGCTGTTCGCCCGATACTGGCAACGACTGAATGAAACGTGCAGGCGCTGCGTCAAAACGTACCTAAGCAGCACGTACGTAAGCAAAAACGCCTCCACATCACCCATCGATAGCGAAATTATGTTTAGCAGTGCCCTGTATAGCTGATTGTAGGCCTGACTCCGCCCACATGATCAGTGCGCCCGTCTCCATGTAGAGCTAATTTGAGAGAGACAGCTATCTATCTATACGAAGTTATAACAAGTGCATCCTTACAGCTTGGTTTCAGAACAGCCCTGCCGGTACCGAACTCGGTACCGTATCGGCCGCAAAACTTGATAGTAAATGTGAGCTGAAATATCATCTATGGGATCCACACACCTACAAGTACACCAATCAAACGGATATCGCTTCCATAGACGTCAACAATGGTCGGATTCAAACTCGAGTACCGTTTGACTATGAGGAGATGTCAATCTACCCGGTACGGTTGTATATGATCATTTCATTGTAATTCTGCTGCACTAGGGCTCTAAAGTATTGGGGTCCTGGAAATAGGTACCAAGCATTCATTGAAAAGGTGCTGATTCTGATTAAAAGTTGTGGTATAAGATGGGCTCCCACGACTAGAACACTTGTTTGGAGAACATTTTTCAAAGCAACTACCTCGCTGCGTTGAGGGATGTCCATGCTACGGGTATGTGGCAACGAGAATTCAAGTCGGCTACGAAACTTCACAACGTCCACCGCGGTCAGTTTTTTGCCGCATCACTGCCAGCACTGTATACCCCTGCGAAGATGATATCTATAACCTGGTTAGTTGCACTCTTGGGTGATCGGTTCGGCTTGGAGGGGGCATTTTGCACTTTTGCTAGTTCAATTTGCTAGTCCATTATAGTCATCACGTAAACTCTTGTCAAGTCATTCTTGTAATAAGAACTTACAGTGCTCCCCAAGGTAACCTATAATAGCTTTGCTGGACACCCGGCGGAGTTCGTCTTGGTGGTGGATTTGATGCCACCACCAAGCGAACTCCGCCGCACTTTTTACCCTCACTTTTCGAAGGTCGTGGCCAAATCAGGTGTTGGCGCAATTCGCCTACCTCAAGAGGATATTGGAGCCAAATCGGGTAGTCAGGCTCCAGAGCGCCTGCCTTACAGGCCGGTTCGCAAGTGCCACCTCGAACCGTGGCACCGTTACCTCACGTCGTCATTCCAGCACCAGAAGTCATGTGTAGAGGCGGAGCTGCGGGATCCTTCTCTATTGTAGCCGACGGCTATGGGTGGGAAAAGCTGCCGAGGCTGAGTCGTAATTCACGCCGGCAGATAAAACACTCGTCCTTTGCCCGAATGTTAATTGAAAGCCCAAATATAAGGAGTAGCTATCAGAAAAAGGCTGACGGTTTGATTGATTGACGCACCGTCGTCGGAAAACACGTTCTCCAACCCTCCTACCCCTCCCCCCTCCCCTTCCGCAAGACTTCAGTTATTCAATGCTGATCCTATTCAGTTCTATTCCAGGCAACGTTGGCACTAAAACAACGACTTGAGACAACATTGGTACCCGAAACCGGAAACGTACTTACCCAATGGATCGGTTTTCTTCACATTTCCTGAGTACTGATTCTCCATGAACGCAATCCTCTGGACAGTGGGTGCCGTAACGGATACTGTAAGATCACTTGTGCGCTTCGTTCTGCCACTGGGTCCGTTGCTGTGATTGTTATCAGAGCCCTCTGTTGGATTCGCGTTGCACTTCTAGCGGTTCTTATTGTACTTGAAGCGGATTCGATTGTCGGTAGTATGAATGAGCCTGATTCTTGTGAAAAAGGAATGTGGCTCTATCAGAAAAACGTTAATGTAGCGATTCCGCCCATTTTGAGCAAGGATGTGGGTCAATTTTTGAGCCAAATTTGTGCCTGGATTCACTTAGGAGCTTAACCTGGTTAACATTATAAGTTCGAAGGGGATCGTGAGAACGCAGTCGAAGAGTAGCTGAACACGGTAGAATTCGAGATAATGCTCTGGAGGAGAACCGGCCGATAGACAATTGAGTTGACGGCTGAGTCACCAGAAATTTCAACCATTCGTGGAACCTTAAGATTTTGTCAGCAGCAGAAAGAGGAGAGAAAAAAAAGACTGAGCAGAAGTCAAGAAAAAGTTAAGTGACAAGATTACAGTACTAATGAATTCAAACGGAAGAGGCTTTTCGTTTACTAGGCGATGGTTGTGCGAAATAATCACATGTTGGACAACTGAAATGAGGTTGGAATTTAAAATTTAGAAAGAAATGTTTGAGCACTCCTGAAGAGGTTTATATGATTCTTGGATCGGTGCTGCAGCCGGGCTGGAATCATGTAGTATTTAAAAAAAGCTCCCTGAGGGTCACATACATGCTCTATGGGTCCACTCGTACGATGTAGGCTACGCCGACTCAAGTGAGCGTGATTAAATTAGATGCTGGGAAATCAACCTAATCTCATGCAGAAGTAGTGTGTGGCAGAAAGAAACCCCCCCCCAAAAAAAACCAGAAAAAAAAAAAAAAAAAAAAAAAAAAAAAAAAATGGCGATCATAATTTCGCGCATTCGTGCGCGGCGCCCACCGGTGCCAGCGAAGTTACGGGCACATCTGCGATACTGAGTTTGTCGATTGGTGAGCCGAAATCATGATTTAGCGGTGGCAAGCCTCGATCTCCGACGATATTGATTTTTTTCATTCAATCGAGACTGGATCAACAACCAGCAGGACAACTCGTGCCCGCAGGAGCTATATGGCCTCAGCCACAGCCCTTCCAGCGCGGTATATACAATTCTTGTCACAGCTGACGATATGGGTGTTGGCAGTGATACGCAAAATGTAGAAAATACGCATGGATAAAGCGCACATAGAATCGGTTTAAGCAACAATCAGAAAAATTGTATCGTGTCCCAGGAAACCCTTACCAAGACCAGATGCGACCGCCATCGACCAACTTGTTGAGATCTAAGGCGGACGAATAGGTAGAGGAGGTGTCTAATAAGTTTATTTTATGGAGAAACTCACAGATCTTTCTCTCGAGCCTACCGTATGTAAGCAATGAGAAGTCCCTACAAATGGGGTCGACTCAGAAAGGACAAAACATTTCGCGCTGGTCTTTTTTTGTTGAGTCTAGCCGTTTTCTTTTCCATCCAGGACCACATCACCATTTCAGCGCATTTTCGGGCTTCACAACCATTCCAGAGAAAAGTTCACGAGTTACTTTTCTTTACCAACAAAGAAGTAGGAAGAAGAACTCCAGTGTGGGAAGAAGGCCTTGATATACTTAGGTCAGACTGAACCCGGGAATCATTCAATTAATTAACCAATGGCCTATTGTCCCGCCTCATCTTGCCTATAAGGTAGCATATTCCGATGGAAACACACATACCTTTGGACTCGCGGGCTCAGTTCATATGAGCGCAGATGCCTGAGCGCTGCAGTTATTCGGTATAGCGATGCGAGGGCAATGTCGCTCAGTGGCTCGTTCAGACTCATTTCGGCTCGCTGACCAGTCATTTTTACGCGGAACATGTCTGATTTGAGTCCTGCAGCTGCACTACCGTTCAGGTAAATGCCAGAAATCGACGTGATTGACAGTTGTACGGTAGCGTCCTCGTCTTCGTCGTTCATCGCGATTGTGGCCACCTTCGACCCATGCTTTGATGCTGGAAAATCATCAAATTTTACATTTCAGAACCAAATTCACTTCCTTACTCATAGCCCTGCACAAGCCTACAATGTTTGAACGGCTTCTTATCTTCATTAGTTTGTCGATTACTCACTTAGAATTAATGGGAACGGGCTGGCACTGCACAAACCCCGACACAGGACCCTAGGTTTGTAAGCAGAAAGACCTATATTTACACATTCTTCTCGGTTAGAAAGAACTTTTGGTGTGGTGAGTTCCCTTCCAAAGACGTAGTGAAGTGCCCGCCCGTTCCGGCAAAATGGGTACGTGAGTGTCCGGCTCAAAACCTCTTGACTGAGCCCACTAACAATCTTGCGCAACTCTGACTTTTTTGTAAAGGAACGCAATGTTAGGCCTTGAATCTTATAACCAGCCCTTTTCTTGGAAAAGCTGGTCGCCGGAATATTCTCACACTTCCACCTTCTCGCTCATGGCTCTTTTTGGCTGCCGAAATACCTTCTTACTGATCAGGTTATTTTCCTTACGGAAGTCAACCTCTAACTCTTCCAAGTGACCTTACCGACTAAGCTATAACTGTAACTAACTGTACTTACTTGCGTTCATCACGAGTAATCGCTCTGTGGGTCCGTTGACTCTCAATGGATTAGAATGCAACCCTTCAACGGCTACGTCAACCCACGTCGTCGCCACGAAATACTGTCCATCAGTCGAACGAGCGATCACCTAGAAATTAGTGGTAGAAACGCAAGACAGTGAGTTCCTATGCAGACATCCCATATCCCAATCTTCAGATGATCTCTTTGTACGGTTCCATGCAATTCTGCAAAATTGAAGCCATCTGACACTGAGCAGAACTCATGGCAGTACGAATTGCGCTTGGCGCGGCCCACTAAAGCAGTCCCATCGCCCTTCGTCTTTTGCCAGTTATGTTTGGCGTAGTTGACCAGAATTTTTGAATGAAAATCCCCTTCCTATATTTTAAACAAGTCACGCAATCCATTGAGCTAAAGCTGCGCTCCAACGAGCGCTTTCTTCGCAACTAGAGGATTCCAAGACTAGAATCGGATACGTGCCGATATAGGAGGTCGGGAGATGAGCATCCGCGCGATCGCTTGCGTATTCAAGCGATCCAGCGACTGACATTGGGGGGGGGGAGCAAAAAATCTGTTTTGTCGCCGACTCGTGTTGGAAAAACTTAATCCATTTAATCGCGCGATATCATAAAGTTTAAACACCGCGCAGAAGTGAGCTGACGGAAAGCTTGTGTTATGGTAAGAAGACCTACCAGTACAGTGAAGTTCCTCGACTCCTTCTCAGGTTCACGTTGATAGTACAATACTCCATGCTCGTCAATGCTGACCGCTCCCTGACCACCTTCTGCGATACCGTACTGGATTGTGTGATTCTCCGCACCGACCAATTCCACCATACCGATCAGCGTTTCACCAGGAGGTACGGCAAATGAGTAGGAATCCTGAAGGTAGTACCATGGTCACTGTAGCTCAACAGAATGCTTAACAGCTTAGTTGACAGTTTCCTAGAGTGAACGTTGCGCTATGGGCACATTAGGTACGCTGTGAACGGAAGCGCAAGATATTCCAGAAGTTAGAAGTGCATTCCTAAAACATTCTACTACTCGGAAAAACTTCCAATAAGGAACTCACCTTGGCAAACTTGAAGCTTTGCAAACGTTGCGCAGCCTGCAGCAGTGAAACGCTGATTGGAGCCGTCACAGTGGATTTCTTGTCGGTCGCAGTAACCGTGAGATTGAGCTGGGATCCATAGCCGGTTAGGAATTCGGGATGCTGGAAATCGTCATTTCAAGAACCATTTTTAGTAGGCCAATGCTTTGTAATCCTAAATGAGACGAAGACGAGTATTTCAGAACTAGGTGCCGATCTTGCGCGCGTAGGAGCACCTGCACGGTAACTGTGAAACAGGATTCCAGGGAAGAGGGTGCAGGTTCTGCTCTTCAAGGCACATTACAACCCCCTGATGAGGCTCAGTGACGCTCAGCATGAGGCAGTTGAGGATAAGCGACCAGCCTGCAGGCAGGCTGGTCAGGCAAAAGTAAGGGCGCAATCATTCTAGGCGGTACCAACAGGGGCGGACTGAGCTCGCCTTCTGTCCGCCTTTCCTCCTAAAAATAGCGACTGGTTCAGGATTCTTAGTGATCGACTTTGGAAGAAACAACCAGTGGTGGAAACCTCACGGATGGGCATCCATCTTGACACCGCCCCGACTGATTGCGACGAAATCAGTTGTGTGACAAAGTGGTTAACAATAGTAGTGGGCCCGTGAAGGCGCGGAATTAAAGGTAGGGAGAGAAAGGTGGAGATGTTAGAAATGGAATATCCACCAACCTGTGTCATGAGTATACCAGTCTTGGGATGAATAGAGAACAACCCAGTAGCATCTTGAAGAGTGTATACCACTTCATCAGCTGCACCTGAAATAATACCGATACGAAAGTTCCAAAAAAAGGAAAAGGAACATAAGGAATTCAAATAATAGTATCCAACAAGGAATCTGATGGTGAATGAAACTGGTCTTCTTAAGAAACTGCACCTCGCCATGTTTGCACCTTTAGTGCTTTTTCGAACACTCCCGTTTCTTCTTCCACTACGGCGTTGTACGGAGTGTTGAGAAAACGTAATCGATCGCCACCCTTAAATGATCAACTTGTGGATGCAGCAAATGTGGGTATCTAGAGCACTTTGAGCAAAGCGTAAAGCTTAATGAGGGGTGATTCGTTCCCCGAACGAGCCCATCTGATTCTGGCAGCTTATTAATTGAAATATGGTTTATATTTAATGAGAAAAGGCAAGTCGTGACTTTGCAGCGCAAAATGTCTCGCATTTCCATCAGATGGACAAGGGGCGTGACCTGTGAGTGGGCGGATTCCGCTAAAATAAAATCGGCTTTTCTTATGTTCATCCATTCCATTGCGCTTCATCGAACGGCGAGGTTCAGGGTTTAAGTGAAGCGCAAGCTTTACAAAATAAAGAGTCCGCAAAAGAGTATGCTAATGCCTCAGCTCAGGGAGTCGTGAGAGGAGGGGAAAAGGGAAGCGTTAAGAGAATACTGGAAGAAAATTCGAAATTGGAGGGGCGGGTGTCGTATTGTGCCATGAAGGAGAATCTTTCCCAATAGCTTGACTTTTTCGTCTCACATCCTCGTTCTGGTCTCTTTATATGTTCCTCGCCACAAATGCTAACGCTTACCCAATAGCTTTTTTGAGAGATCTGAATAAGATGGTTGACAGGGACAGAAAGGTGCTCGTACCGAAGGAAAGAAGTTTAGGGAAGGGGTGGCTCTATTCGACGAGAATTCTCCCTATGCTCCTAGTCGTAATCATTTTCGCAGCGTTTCCCACTTATTAGCTTGTCCAAGTTTGGGTGAATTCCACTTCCTAAAAAATCCCACGAACGATTCAAATGTCAGTTACCTGTGTCTTGAACGTGAGCGTAGTAACTTGTTGGTGTTTCCATTGACAGCCATCAATAGCAGGGTGAACGTACTCGGGGTGGTACATGGGGTCTCGCACGGAACGGTAGTCAGATAGACCAGCTGGCCCTCTCTCGCGATGGTGAATCGCTCAGATAGCGGTCCGATGAGATTGAAACGTGTACCAGAAGGTGGTTCAGACTTTAGCTGAAAGTATAAATACTAGAGGGTTTGACCTATCGATGAAATTAGGCGCGAGCGTATCGGGGGGTCCCATGTAGCTGCGCCACTCCGCCACATCACAAAGTGTTAGAAAGAGGTAGCCGTAATACCAAGCAATACGAAATTTGAATTTTTAGCGTTTTTTTTTCGGGCAAATTCATGGAATTTGGAAAAAGGCAGACGAGCAGAGATGAAGTGCGTTGTCTTGTTTAGACATGTCGTAACGTGGCACATTCGTGAGCTGCATGACGTTTCCCTCTCCCTGACCACCCTTGCTCGCAAAAATCTCGGGATACGATGGAAATGGAAAAGCAAATTCTCATAAAGCCTAAACAGACCTTGACGATTGCAATTTCTCTTTCGTTGAAATTCTGCTCCAGAAGTAAATCATAGTCGCCTTTCTCGAACGGTGGTACAGCTCCTTCATCGACAGCTTGCTCAGACTGGCTGGCATCAGCTTTAATCTCGATCGGCACCACCTGCTCCTTGCCGGATATTAGCGTGAGAGCTTGCAACTGAAAAATTTGTGGACGACCTCTGTATGACTTGTTGAAAATTCCATAGTTTACTTCGCGATTCCACGTAATGAACTACTGCCTCTGTTAATTGATTCCACCTAGTAAGCAAGACTCACTTCTCCGGGGGGGGGGCAGTGTTGTTGTGATGGGCAAAGTTACGCTCCTCCCTAAGCGGCTTAGCGGTGTCAGGAGGCGTGGAAGGAGGGCGCAGTTCGGCGACGGTGGGGGGGGGCATTTTGCACTTTCACTGCTTCACTACTTCCGGTTTACAAGTCTCACTCTGGTGAAACTTGTGAACTCTTGTGAAGCTGGAGCAAGCTCGTCTAGCCACCATGGTAAAACGTGTCAACTCAAGAAAAGGCTACCTAGATGGGTCGGCACATCGATGGGAAGCAAAATGCCCCCCCCCTCGCCCGTCTCCGAACTGCGCCTGGAAGGAGTCCACCCGCAGCGTTCTCTAGCAGGTGATTGTTTTCCACTTAAACCCGCTTCTATCGGTGAAAACGCAGGTAGGCTCACTTCGCCACCTCCTGACACGCCCACCGGATAGCCATGATATCAAGTATTTGTAACTTGTTAGGATAAAAAGGATGTCTGTGACGTCATATAACAAGTTAAGGGTGTACCTATGACGTCATTGACAAAGATGGAATGCAGATTGACTCGTCATTAAGATGCTACACGAGCCGCTCATTGACAAGTGAGATCAGGCGTCATCCTTCGGATCTCGACAGGTAACGGATCTGTTCGGCAGGTAAGGGACTCCTGCTACACTTTCGCGACCTTTAGAAAGTAGAACTAGAACGCGGCAAGAGAAGAATAAACTGTCACACCTAGGTGGGTCACCAC